AGAACATCAAAGTTATGATACCTCGTAAGTACCTGYTATATTTCATCATTTCCCATTCTGTCTCATTTCCTTTATTTATTTTCTTCTTGATTTTAACCTCTGAATCACATGCACATTAAAATCCAACTGAATCCCACTACAAACAAGTCCTATCACTTCCCAAAGTCAGTTCTGTTGCTTCAAGTGTGTTATTATGGTTATTCAAGATCTAGTACTGTAATCCTAATTGAACTTCGAAAATAAAGGAGCTCTATACTTTTTGAACATGCGTCTTCTCATAGTTATTTGTAAAAATGCCCAAAAAAACACTATAATTTGTAAAAAAGAATGGTTTTGAACAAATTGCAAAAACAACACGAATTTCTTATATCAAAATWGCTCATTTTAATTTACAAAAAACAGAGTAATTCAACCTGAAATAATATGACAAATTAGAAGACTCAGATGAGTAAGGAAGTATCAACCTGAATTTTGGATTGGAGACCTGAAATGTAGTCACAATTGCATCTTGTTCGGCTAGCCTTTCACACAATGTTACCACCTAGAAAGAAAAAGACATGTTTAAGAATTACCTTGTCGTCCTCCACCAATTCAATAAGCTAGCAGGTTAATTCTCAAAAACCTACATTCAGATACCAAGTATAGAAATTAGAATAATAATCAGGGCATTGATTTCATAGGTATCGAAGGCAAACAAATTAATGAATTCTTGCTTGAAGCTTTTGCTTGAAGCATCATCCAACTTGAATACCCTGATTACACCATCTTCATAAGCTGCATGCACAACAAACAAGATAATAATTAGTACAAAAGTATCACATGTGTTCAAATAAAGAATACATCACTGTGAGAAACTATATTTGCATTACTACTACATCTTAAGTTGTCAAATGGCTTTCGGTTTGTTAAGGAAATGATGCTATGCCTATAATTTGAAGAGAAAATATTTAGACAAAAAAGGAAATATGGTGCTCAAATGGAAAATATATATTTCGGTACAATTGCAAGTCAACCATCAAGATGTAGACATTTTAAGCTCAAATCTTAGTGCAAAAAAAAAATTAGAAGGTTGAGCAGCTGATTTCAACTACTCCGGTTGTTCCTTAAGAGTCCCTCTGTTGTAATGTAGTCACTTACTATTGACAAATTGAATTTCACCTCTTACTTAAAGAAACAAAGCATGTGTAATTTATGAAATAACAATAAGAGTCGAGTGGTGTATAAGCAATGCATGAGGTAAATTTCCCAACCTTGTCCTGTATGAAATGTCTACATTAAATGTCCTGTAAAGTATCATTTTTCCGAAGAATGGCATAAGAGATTCCCATGTGACAAACGGAAGGTGATATTTGTAAATATTTAAATTAGCTTCTTTCTTTAAACTTGATAACATCCATTAAGAACAGTGAAGCATGGCGTCTCCAAAATGGGTGAAATTGATGAGATGCACAAATGGGGAAAAACTGAAAAGAGTGAGAAAGAACAATTAGACAAAACCGAATAGCCACAATCTTCTTCACATTGCTAAAAAAAATCATCACTTGCCCGTTTATAAGGTCTATAATTTACCAAATAGACAAGAGAGTATTARTAGCCTATATCACATGAATCCTACTTCATRGTAAGTACAATAAAATCTTTAAACACCATTTCATCCAAAAGAATAAGAAAGCATGTTGCCTTTCAATCATATCCAAAAACTCAATAGTAAAGCACTATAGAAGAAGGCTTGATACTTCTATTCAGTGTTCTAAAGAGTCTTAAGAGGAGCTAAGAAGGCCGTAATTGGATGCATCAAGTAGTTTGATTTAACATATAACATATAATTGATTCTAAGAACATGAAAGTTAACAGTTTTGATATTGTAGATATACTGAATTGGGATGAATTGCTTTTTATTATTGGGCAACCAATTACCAGACCACCTAACTCACTAACTGGCTTAACTGAGTTAATATTCATTGCATTGGTTCTCATGATTCGTGGAGCTACATTATCAATGTACATTTAACAGAAGTGATGAGAATTACCAGTTTCCAAACTATGTCCATCCGATGAAAAGCATAAGCCATTAACGGAATCCCCATGACCTTTCAAAGTACTTAAGTGTAATGGGTGGTGGCGCTTGTTTGAATCCTACATCCACAACCATTAATGAGTTGGTAAATAGGTTTTGATAAACAAATTATAAGACATTTGACAGATCCACTACAATCCCAACAGTAGTATATGGTTCAACCCTCAAATGTATACTGCTTCAAATGATCAGAAACCAGAATGTGATAAAATCTCATAATACCCTATGTTTTCTTTCCCCTTTTTCTTGGAAATATATATCTAAAAAAGAGTATACAGAAGAAACAAACATACACCAGTTTCACACAAAATTGAACCTGACAAAATATAAAAAAAAGCAAACATACACCTCGTCCCCTACCTAAGCTCTCCAATCATCTCTGAGTTTGATTTAAAATTTAGGGTTTGTTGAGTTTGATTTTTGCTCTGGCTTCATAAAAACAGACAAAATAAAGAAATGGAAATACCATTAATTCTATATAAATCGAGAAAAATCAAAAGCATTATGTTGAACACAAAACAAGAAATACAATGATACAACCCTAACCTCGATGGAGTCAGATGGAGAAATCAACAAAAGTGGTATTGAACCAAAAACCACAGTGTTATACTTGAACCGAAACAAACAAATCAGCCGCTGGGTTATTGGAGTTCGAAGTTGAAATCGACGGAAGTGAGATATAAGGTTCTATCCATGAAATCGGTTCTCTGATCGAGGTGATACATCCACACCACCATTGTTATGTCAAACGAGGTCTGTGAAGGAGAAAGGCCTCTGTTTTCTAACCCAAAATGTTTTTGGTTTTGCTGGTGGCAGAGAAAGG